AAAAGCCTTTCCTTGTTTAAACAGGGAAGTTTACATGAAGGAAGTGCTGTCCAGTCCCATCTTGTATATGACTGGCATCTTTCCACAACTGGCCTAAGAGGTCTCACAGAGACAAACCCCATATTACCATATTATTAACTATTAGGAAAAGGGCAGCTGCTTTCGAAATTCAACAGCTTTGTGGAATGTCACAGACACTCAAAACATTTGGTTTTTGGAGGTTAGTACACTGCAAATTCTTCACTGAGTGCTAAGCTCAGTGTTTAGCATGACAACTGGGAAAGTGTGAAGCAGTTAATTAGTATCCCCTAATTCTTTCAACAGAGCATTCAGAAATAAAAATTAATAATGGTGGGTTCTTGTTTACAAAACGTTCTGTTAGAGCAAAAAGCATTTGAGTGGCTACAAAGGAGGACTGTGATTTTAGTCTGTCAATGGTAGAATAGAAATTGTAGTATATGACCAATCCAAGATAATGGGAATAATTATAAGCAATTAGCACTGAGAAGATGAATAGTACAAAGCAACAGAAAAATTAAACAACTTTGAACACAGAGAAACTTATAATGAATGAAACCTCTTTCTGTAGGTTTCATTAACAGCAGAAACTATGTCAAAATCAGTCTTCTGCTGAACACACCTTTTGCTCAAATGAAGTCAAACTCTCTTTAAGTTACATCATACAACTATGTTTCAGTCTTGCTTCTGTTACCATGGCAAGGTACCTTTTTCCCAGGAAATGCAGAACAGAAAATTAGAATAGGGCAGCAGAACCCCACAATAACTTATTTATTTGCCTATTGTACATAATATGGTATTTCTGTTTTACTTCCTACCATTTAACCTAAAGTTTTGCTAGAGCTTCTTATTGCTTCTTTTGAGCTTTTCAGGCTTTGAATGGTATTTTATGGTATTGTAGAGGCAACAGCAGGAAGCTTTAATCCAAGCTAAGAGAGTCTCAGCAGTTTCATGCCCCTACACAGTTTGCTCATGATAAGCTGTGTTGCAGCCACATGCCTCCATGTAAGCAATACATGTTTGAGAGGGTCTATTTAAAACCAAATGAACCAAACTAAATCAATTAGCAAAGTCGGACTTTACAACTCCTTCCATATTATTTGTTTGCTGCAGTGTCATAGCATTTAAAGATTCGCATGGGGAATCAAAATACAGAATCATTTACTATGGACAAGAAATGAGAAGATAGCCAGAAGTGCCATCTTTCAGACAGCAAGCAAGATAACCATCACTTGAGAATGATGAAGGTGGCTGTTTGCTATGAAGTCATCTATCTGTCCTGGACTCTTCATTAATGTTTGTCTGATTGACACTAAAATCAGAATGGTTCCTACACAAACAGGCAACTATGATGTGAAAATGATACTTTCTCTTTTTGACTGTTAAATAGATGATCCCATTTTGTTCTAGTGGCCAAAGATCAAAATTAGCCTTAGGATGCACAAAAAAAAAGTGGTTTTATTGTCTTCAAGAGACAAGTGGTTTTATTGTCTTCGTGTTTTCCCCTGTCTTTTAAATTGTCACATAAATTAAACAAGCTTTTAAATTGTCACATAAATTATACTTATTTAGACAGCAAGCATGTCTTCTTGACACCTAATTCTAAATCTTATAAACGTCTTTTAAAAGTAGCAATACATCAACATAATTAAAAATCAAAATTGAGATTTAGAATTCCTTATGGCTAAAGGCATAACTTCACTCTCATATAGACTTTTTACTATACAATACCTTCTTCCATTCCAGTTTCTCCTGCTAACAGGAAATAAAATTAAAACCTTCCTGCTGTTTTGCTACAAAGCAAGGATTCCATAAATAGTTTTAACTTACTGACCTTCTCACTGCAAACCAATCTCCCTACTGATCCTGGGACCAGAGATTCAGGAAGAGGTAGATTTGGTTGATTGTTTTTACTTTTTATTACATAAGTGAAACTGAGAGACAGGAGAAATGCCGAAAGAAATAGTTTTTCTTGCTGAAACACATTTTCAAGCAGACTAAAAAAAGGTTTAGGTGTTGTTGGTTTTTGCGCTTTTTGGTGGGGTTTTTTTTGTTTGTTTTTTGTTTTGTTTTGTTTTGTTTTGTTTTGTTTTTTGTTATTCTATAGATGGATTTTCTTAATGACTCACAAAGAATAAAGTCTTCTAAGGACTATCATATTAAATGATCATAAAACTCCAGGGCCAAATTCATCCAAATATAACTTCAGTGGAGCAATGCAAAGTAATTAATTACATGGAATTAAGAATTACTATTCACCTCATTTCTATAGATTACCTTTAATGTTCATGAACTCCTAAGACAAAAATAGCTGACTTCACCCCCTTCCTGTCAATCACAAAGGAGGATTTCAGATTTGCTTCTTATAAAACCATGCTGTTAAGTTCCTCCCATGCAAATAGCACTGATAGTGGTGAGACCAAAGGGCCTTTTTGGGGGACACATTCTGTATGTACAGAGACATGATGGAAGGGAGCAGCATGTGTCTTTGGAAATGTCTGTGCTGACCTCAAGACCTTTGCTGCCACAAAGCAGTGTGGAATCTTCCTGCAAGGTAAGGAGCTCACGAAGGTGGTTTGGACCAAGGTCCATTGACTGTAAAAGTCACTTTCATGTAACTGCAATGAAAAGAATCTTGGTCAAGCCATTGTTTAAAATCTGAAGAATCTGAGAGAAATGAAAAATCAAAATGCAGACTTTATTGCCATGTTTTGGTACCTTAAAAGCTGCTATGTAACACAACAACACTTTCACAAAGGAAATTTTAGAGAGTGAGATAAATCCCCTGTTCAATTAAATAGATTCTTTGGAAAGTCTTGTCTCAGTATACATTTGAAAAATTTAGAGAACCTGGGAATCTTATCTTGAAAGATAATTCAGCAATTAAGTAGACACATTAAAACAAACCATACAGACTTGCCAATTTAGTGAACCACTTTATAGGGAAAAAAAAAAATTGGTGTCCTCTCTTTTTTAATCATCAGTAGCTTTCTTTGCAAGCAAAAAGGCATTTTACATTGAAAACTAATTCTCATTCTAATGAAACTAATCAAACAACTTGCGACTCTGCAAAAGTTTATCATGTTTTTATCTGTGTTCTGTTGGGTAGTCCCAATGATTTAAGGATGCTTGCTCATACAGAGTGGTAATATAGGTCACATCAGTATTTGAACTGCACCTGATGTATATTGGTTAAAATACATGCTAAGGAGAAACTGATAAGTTTAGTCTTCATGCCAAAAAAAAAAAAAAAAAAAAAAATCTATATTGGAAAAGCAAGAGGCAAAGATCAACAAGAAAAAACTTTTGGAAGATCCTTTCCTGAACCCTAATATAGTGCTATTGAAGATTAGATATACATTTGTCTGAATGGGAGCATGGGTATGGTATTAATTGTACCTCTATTCCTAAATCACACACAATGACTCCAGTTTACTCAACACTAACAGTGTTAGCAAAAGACTTGGAGTTACTCCCTGTGCTCACAGGAAGGTGAGCTCCCCATGACCTAGTATTTTTCATCTCTGGCACCTGAGACCAGAGATGACTGCCAGACTGGTTCAGAGGTTCACAGAAGTTGTGTATCATTGGTACACAAATTCATATCACTCACTGAAAAATAACAGGAAGAAGGTGAGCCAGGATGGTGAAAGCTGGTCTATAAGAATACAAATGTGGATTTTGTTCAAGTGCCAGGAGAGTAAACAGGAGAGTAAATAGCAGTGGCAGACACAGCTGTAGCAAGATATAGATGTGAATTCACAAAGGAAAAACCTTGTCTTCAGATGCAATCAGTCCTTCCCTTCTCTTGCATTGCCTTCCCCCCATCCTCACATATATCTTGTACTTACCATGCTTTTTCAGAGTAGCACATTAACTCATCCCTTCACACACTGAACTGAAGAACTTTTACAAGATTTGTTTCTGTCAGTAAAAATTCTTAACACAAAAAATCCTCAAATATTAAACAAAAATTTCTAAAGGATTTATAGGACTTTTTTGGTCAAGCTGATAATTTGATTACTTTTTCAATATTTGTACAGCATAGCTATAATGATTTCCAATTCTCACTCTGACAGAAATACTTTCAGATGTACATTAAAAAATTAACTAGGCTGACTGTAGATTTCTATGCCATACTTTTGATGCATGTAAGTAAGAGGCCCAACAAAACTCATCCAGCTAGCCTGGCTGTCCGTCGCTTAGGTCAGGGAGCTTACCAAAATGTCCCAAACTTCCTTTCTTCCCAAGATATGCACATTTCCTTCTAACTGAGATGCAGGGGCATGGGACAGATCTCAGCCCTGCTCATCAAACCAGCACGGCCAGAACTGTGGGGAGTCCCCAGGATTGCATCTCCCACATTACATGATTCTCCTGATTTCAAAATCCCCCTGAAATATTTTGTGGTCTATAAATTATTTATAAGTGCTTACAAATAGAATTGCTGATTCTGTATCTGTCACAACAGGAAAGATTAACACCCCTGCCCAGCAACCTGCACCTTTCCTGGAGGGGGAGAGGATGCATGAGGAGCACACACTCCTTGTCCACTTGATGTGTGGTGTGTCAGCTCTCAGAGTTGTGCTATATTGTGCCACTTTAGTGTTTGTAGCCTCAGCTGTAGTGATTCTCTCTATGTATTTATGATGCATTTTTCTGAAAGAGGTATAGGGTGGGATGTGAAAACTACTTTATCTCTGTGTGTTTTCTGACACCAAGTAGAGAAGAAAAGCCAATTGTCTGATCTTGGAAACACAGTAAAATTGGCCCGTGGTGGCTATTAACACAGAGATTAATTTAGAAATATGGTGATCCATGACCCCTCCATGGCAATTACAATTACCCTGATGTTCCATTAAGGCTTTACTTTTTGTCAGTGGGAGAAATATTGACTTAATGAACATATGTATCTGTCCTGCAAGAAAATAAAAATTAATTTTGATTTGGAGACAAAACATTCTGTTTCTTCTTATTCTTACCTTCCCTGCATGGGCACAGGAGTGAAATCCTTCTCAAGTGCAATGCAGCCATCCTCCCCTATTGCTGATTTTTCACACAGGGTCTGTGACTCTCCAAGGCTCGCTACCATGCCATGATACTCTTTAAATAACTGCAGCTCATTGCAACTTCTGGTCACTGGTTTGGCTGCCACCTTTGCAGATAAAATGGTTTGATGTGACGATGTCTGATTCAGCTCCATCTCTTGCTGTCTAGAAACTGTAATCTTTGTTATCCAAGTACATTTGTCCCTGGGGGGTGTTCTCCTAAAAGTGAAAACAAATATACTAGGATTTAATTGCATGGGCTCAATGTTTACTGCAGTACAAGCATGTTAAAAATGTCAATCAGACTTCTTTGAGTGCATTTTTGGGTATTTCCCAGTTCATTTATTTACACCAGGAAGAATTGCAATGTTTTAAACATCTTTGCAACTTCAAAATTAGCCACTATAAGCACTCAATTAGATAAACAGATGGGTCATCTACTTCATCCATGTCTACCATTATTTTCTCCCACAAATCTCCCAGTGACTTGCACTGACTTATCCCATAAAACAAGCCAAAATCATCTCTGTATTAGTGGCACAAGAGTCACTGCTACACAACATTTTCCCAGCTCACGAGAGCACTGTTTCACCACCACCACACAGCTCCTCTCCAGCGGCTGTGCTGGCAGCAGCCTCATGGAAGCCATCGCTCTCCACCAGCCCTTGTGCTCCCTCAGAAAGCCCTGTCCTGCTGCAGATCCACCACGGATGATGGACCCTCATTACGCAGAGCAGGTATGTGAGTTTTATGAAGACAGTGTGCCATTCCAGAAGTTGCCAGAGGCTTTTATGAAATGTGAATCAAAAGAAAATGAGGTTTTATTATATGATTATTAATGGTGATTATAACAAAAAATAGTGCATAATAGTCGAAAAGCTTTTATGTTCTCATCATTAAAATTCAGTCTGAAAAGTTATAAAAACCACTTCAGAATCCCACAAAGTGCACAACTCAGACATGACTGAATTAAAGATCAGCCTGTCTTAAACACATGCTGTGGAGTTTAATCATGGGAATATTTCAGCATAAAGTGCCAAAGCCACTGCAGAGGACAGCAAGAGCTCAGGTAACGGGCCTGTCAGCCTCCAACATCCTTCAGGTGGGGGAACACAGCCTTGTCAGAGCACATACTTGCTCCTCCCTGCAGAGATCTCAGCACAGGACACTTAGGTACTCCTCCAGGGCTGTGGAGCAAAAATAGTACAATAATAGGCTCTGCTTCAGTCCCAGTGGGAGAAATCACTTGAAAATGAAATGACAAACCTAATTATGATTTCGTGCAGACTTGAGCTCTCATGGCCTTACAGATTAGATGGGAATGGAAGTTACTGCTAAAAAAATACTGCACACACAAGCCACCACAAACACAGGTCTTGACTCCAGGTAAAGGTAGGCTTGCTAACCAAATCTAAATCAGAAATTCCCTAGGTGGTAAAACCTTCCTCAGTTCTGTGTTTCTATCTCTTTCTATTTTCAATGCCCTTAGTTCTCATCTCCTAATATTTTTCACCTATCCTTATAACAGATTGACAAACTTGACTCTTCCCATCATTGCACAGTAGCTGGAGTACCACATCCAGTCCTGGTCCCCACAATTCAAAAACAATGCACAGACTAGACAAGTCCACAGAAGAGCCACAAAGATGATCAAAGAGCTAGAGAATCTGCCCTGAGAGAAAAGACTATAGGATTTAAGTATTTTCCTCCCTCAGGAAGAGAATGCTCAAGGGGGACCTCATTGCAGTTTCAGTAGTTAAAAGGTGAATACAAAGAAGACAGGCTCCCTCTTCACAAGCAGCCACACAAAGAAGAAAAGAGGCAGTGGATAGGAGTCACATGAGGATGGGTTTAATCTCAATAGCAAGAAAGAAATTTTTTGCAGTAAGAATAACAGCAGCAACATCCCCAGGGGTAGAGGTCTCATCACTGCAGATTTTGAAGGCACACTAAACATGCTAGATGATCTCATTGAGGCTCCCACAAAAGCTTGGACCAGATGGTCTTTTGAGGTCCCTTCCAGCATGAGTTGCTCTATGAGTCTATAGTTAACAGCCTAAAAAAGATCAACATAAATAAGCCTTTTCTTTATTGTGCTATATTGGTTTTCTTGGAAGGGAGAAAAATGAAAGGGAAGGTAGGGAGAGCGTGGTAAACAACTGAAAGAAAGGAGGTAGCATCTACTGCTTTCACAGGGCTCCCATATTTAGACATGGCTAGCATACACCAGAAAACACCAAAGACATTTAAATTTTCAATGGATTATACCTCTCCTCTAGATATTTCCATGAAGGGATGCCTGGTACAAGGAGCATAAACCTGGGTGAAGTAAAACCAAACACACTGTCAGTGGTCCAGGGCTTCTCCACGGCTTGAAAATCACAGAGCTTTTGTGATCAAAGACAAAATCCTGAGTGAAAGTCCTGGAAAGCCAGGTTTGCCACTCCTGCATGGAATCTAAAGCTGGGATGTGTTGGGAGGGCAAACACACATCACAGAGAGGCCACCACTGCCCCACCAACACTTTATTGTCACCTCTGGCAGCCTGCTGCCCTACCAGGCAGCAGGTTTGCCTGTCCTAAAATTCCAAACTGTCTTCCTTCCAAAAAATAACTTCGAAATGCAAATACTTACAATTCCAACAAGAGGAATTGTCCTCTATACCTTTTGTCTTCAAGCTCACTTTAGATATTTATATACTGGTTTTATGAAGATACTCTGCAAATCATAATAGAGATATCTGCGTATTTATTCCATTTTTCATAACATTTGGTTTGTCTCAGTTCCTACTGTGAAAATACACAGATTTTGAAATTATGTCATGCTGTGGAAATGCTAAACCTGCAGCAACTCAGGTTGTACTAGTTTTTAAAAGACAAAAATCTGAACACAACCTCTGAAATTGACCCCTTCTGACCCTCTAAATGGGATTTTTTTATCATGACATGAACAGGGACCAAATCAGACAAGCTCTTGTATGTACAAAGCCCTAGCTTGAAAGACATTTATTTTCAGAATTAATGTTAATGAAAAAATAAAAGAATGTCAAGGACGAGAAGCTTGAGAGAAAATCTGGTATCTAGTTAAAAACCTATAAACTGCTTTATTGTACATTCACAGAAGCTTTGCAAAAAAAAAAAAAAAAAAAAGTAACACATCATCATTTTGCCACAAGAGCAAGCATGATTGTGAATGCCTATGTGGCTAAAACATCGCTAAGGCAACTATCTCCATGGTACCTAAGCTTCTAAGACATCAGTGCATCCAAGAAATTCTCGAATGATCACATCTCCCTGTAGTTACACTTTTATTGCTACTTCTTTTCTCTTACCTTGCAATGCCTCCATCAGCAATAAGACATAGGTGAGATGCTATCATGTGAAGGTAAGGAGAGATTTTAGCCAAGAAAAGTCTGTTTTGGGTACATTCGGGAGCTATGCACCAGCAATAGTTTTTTAGCCACAACTAGAAATTGGTCCAGCCTGTGTTGGTCCATCCTGTATTTGTAATACAGTGATAATAAATAAATAAAATAAATAAAAGAGCTAATACAGTATTTAAACCACATTTGTCACTCCTTTTCATCCCTGTCATCCAAGCAGTTGAACATCCACTCTAAAAGTAGTAGTGGAGAAGTAATTTTTTGGATGCAAATAAGATCAACAGGTTATGTTATTTTATTTAAGAGGCTTTTCACATTTAAAAATCAAGAATTTAATCTTAGGGTACCATGAGGCTATGAAATATCATTACCTTGAGCCCAGAATATAAGAATATATTCTGAGCTCAAGGTAATGCCCAGAAATTATGCTTCCTGTCTTGCTCATGCTATTATTTATCAAAGCCTTTTTCCACCAAGACTGGAAAAAAAAAAATTTCCTCTCCACTGTCACCTTCCCATTATCAAGCAGAAACTGAAATTCTAAAAAATGACTAGCTGAGGAGGGATGCATATATTCTATATATAAATTCCCCTTCAGACATGCATCTCCCAACAGCTTCCCCACAAGTCAGACAGCTGATGTTGTCCCTCCTATGGCAAAGACACCTGCAAGTGTTCACAGCAGCATGGAACAGAGCTGTTGCCTTAGCCTGAGGCTCACAGAAACAGAGCAAGGCTTCTGTACTGCAGCTCAGAAATCCTCCCACCACAGGCTTACCCTCACATGGCCATTGACACACATAACCCTGGCCCTGCCATCCTGGGGACAAGGAGATGAAAACTCAGCTGAAAACCTACCCCTAGAGTTACAATCTAAAATCACAAACACACACATATTCCCACAATGCCATTGACAAAACACTTATTTTTTTTTTATTTATTTTGAGTAAAGGTACTGCAGTATCTAATGTTGTCATGTGCAAACAAGAACTCTTGGTATTTAATTGATGTGTTTTCACTTATAAATTGGAAGTGTCTCTTGCTGTAGGAAGGCAGGAAGGCTGGTTTGGATACACGGAGTGTAAGAAATCCCTTTGACATCTAGGATTTCACAGTATGTTCCAGTGCTGCTGTTTTCCACAAACGCCTGCCTATCCTACATATATGATCCCCATTATCTCATAGGGTGACGTTAGACATTGCAGAGAAAAAAGCTGCGCAGAGCAGACCTCTTGCATGACTGGGAAGATGACAGAGCACGGTGTACAGAGTGGGGCTGCAGGACAGCCCACAGCAGATCATCACCACTGACTTGTCCCTGGTTTCGGGGTTGTCTTTCCTTGCCATCCATCAGGAGCAGGAGGAGCAGTGGGGGTAAACCTTTCTCATTTTGCACCAAACACACAAGTAAGACTCCATTAAGTAAGTTCCTGTCTAAGATTCCTGTCTAAGACTCCCCACTTTTGTTCCCCATGAATTCTTGGCCCAGGGCTGCAGGGAGGGCTATTTCGCAGGTGGAAGCAGGGTGATGGGCTATAAGAGGCTTTGCGTCCATCAGTCTGCCCAATAAGAAATGGTTTCAAACTTCCCCCAAGAGAGCTGTTCCCAGGTGGTGGCTCCCAGGACACCCAATGCTTAAAGCCCTGGTACCTTATACTCTTTCTCTCATTGGGTTTTAAAGTGTTTCAAATACCACACTTGCAAACTGGCAGAACTGGCAAGTTGCTGCATTCCCTTAGGCAAAAGGAGGGTGTTTTCCTGAGAGCAGTTCATTTTCCTCATCCATGTACTAGATGCTGAGACCTACTGGAGGTGGGGCAGCATGGAGCTA